ACTATGTAGTGATGTACTTGTGTATTTCTTTTTTTTGTTGGTGTAATAATGCAGATTGTATTTAGAAAATTTCTAGTAAAATTATATAGAGTTGGAGTTAATGTAATATAATAATTATACCATATTTAAACATTATACAAATTGCTCAATATAAAAAATTCGCGGATTTTTGTATGTTGAAATTTTTATGGGAATTCAATATTTTTATTCTTATGAGCTCAGATACAATTATTGTACATTACTCAATCTCAATTTTTAGTTTATTTACACTTAAGCACTGCAATATATTTGTTATCAACAATTCGTTTCTCCTTTGTTTTCGTAATATTAATCGTTGTTCATAATTTCATTAAAATGATTAATTTGTGCAGGATAAGGTAAAAATATCTACAATATGACGAAATTTTTGAGCTGTTGGTTTTATATATTATTTATTGGTCTATAAAAAAGTTCGGAATTATCATTTGTCTATTATTAAGATACGATAGTATACATACAAGTGTATATAAAAGTTATCGTTACATAGAATCGCTACAAAAGAGCCATTTCCTTTATGTTTGAAAATAAACAATCGCTGAAAGATAAAAATCAATTTTAGAACTGTGGCTGTGGATGTTTATCGTTATCGTCCATAGCTTTTTTCCTAATTATCTCTAGCAAAACAGTCGTAAAATATTTGTTGCTAATATAAACAGAATGTTCGCTTAGAAATATCAAGCGTTACAATATTCTTCTTATATTTATGCGAATATTACAAATTACTACATGAAAGTATTTTTATGTTTTATACCTATCAATGCATCAAAACGATTTAGAACGTAAAACTAATTATCATCAACACAAGACTGCAAACAGCTATATAAAATAAAACAAGTAACAAATGTATACCGTTTACGAATGTTTTCCCACTATAAAACATGGACGGTACGTAGAGACTGGTATAAACATTGTATATAATTGGTGGCATCTGACAGCCGCTTTTCTAATGGTCATGGTCAAAAATCATTGATGACCGTGAAATGCAGGTGTACGGCATTAGACTTGTCAACTTAAAAGTTAAGTTCTGAGGAATATGGGTTACATTTCAAAACACAATTAAAATAAATCTGTTCCAAACCAAGATTATCATTTCAGTGTTATGTAGTGATTAGTGATGTGCCGTATCATTGAAATTGTAGATCCGCGGATACAGATCCGGATACAGATCATTGGCGTCAATATCCGCGGATACGGAGACGGATCCTAACTTAATATCCAGATAAATCTCAGTATTAGTGTATCCACCGTCCTCGATTTTGTGTCTGATTCGAAGGATAAATTAGATTTAAGTTTTTCAGAAATTGATAAAAGAAATTGTTTCAAAAAGTCTGATTTTTACACCCACCGGTCAAAGGAATAAAAAAAATTGCTTAGAACCTTGGAAAATGCAGTAAATCTCACAGCAACTGCAAGAAGTACTAAGGACAAAGCCGTGATTTTTGCCAGAATCTAGAAGAGTCTATCACCCAGTTTCCGAAAGCGCTATCAATTTTAATTTACGATAAATCTCTTGTCAAACGTTGTTTAACATGATCTGAGTTGCTAGAACGTCTGAAAACAACATTGATTTTGATTTGCAATTAGTCACTAATTAACGGACAATCAACATAAAATCGAGTTTTTCGGTGGTCAACGAGCTGTCAAAAGTTTTATTAAGTAATCTGTCAATTTGGACGATCAATCGTTGGTTAAAAATGTATTTTATCAAAAATCTTAGTTTTTATTAAAAATAAACATAATTCCCTAATACGTTGTAAGGAAATTCATGTGTTCTATTACCTATTTATTATTTTGCGAACATATCATGCGATTAGAAAAAATAGAAAATGCAATTCAAAAGTTAAAAAATAATATGGATTCTATCTTTTTATAATACTTACTTGTTTATTATGGATAAAAGTTCATTTTTTTCACGTTCTGTAAAGTTTTTTTCTTGACATTTTGCATGTATTTATATAAATTAAATTTTATTATAGCTCGGATTTTTACGTTGGCAATCACACGGTGACAGGACTGGATAGTGACATTAATTTAAGTTTTGTTTTAAAAAGGACAGCTATACAATAGAAAGAGTTAGTTGAAGTAAATCATTCATTTCATTCATTATCATTGGTTATACAGTGATTAGCTAATTTTTCTTGAACAAACCTTCCAGAAACCCAAGGCAGTTTAACATGAGATTAACAGCTGATCATTTTTGACATAGTGTTATGTGATTGCTGCTTTGATTGGCCTTTCGGAAACTGGGCATATGACTAACATGTTAGATAGTGATGATGATGATGATGAATATTAGATACTCATATAATTATACTCATTTGCTCATACAGTATATATTAGAAAAAAGATTATTAAGAGAGCCACGATCCAATAAAGTATTGGCAGATTAACAGTAAAAAGTTTGGATGTCGCAGTCATACGACTTGACGACCCGAGTGGGGTGGGCAGTAGGTAGTGAACCTGCCTCTTGCGCCAGAGGGTGTGGGTTCGATTCCCACTACTGGAAAAATATTGTGTGATGAACATACTGTTTTTCCAGTGTCTGGGTGTCTATAAATGTATAATATGTATTTATTAACAAAAGAAAAGTATGTTTAAGTATGTTTCTAGCGCCAATAGTACATGCGTTGCTTAGTTTGGGACTAGAGAACGTAAAAAATGTATCCTAAAATATTTATATTGCTCCCACATATTCATTTTCATTGCATCGCACATTATCACGACTTTTGAGGGATACAGCTGCCAAGTTACACTTTTTGAAGTACAATTAACCGTTCCTTTAATTGTCATTGTGTTTTTAATCAAAAGTTAACACTGAGTGTCACAGTGTATTAATTTACTCAATTAGAATTATCATTTTATTACGTTTATAAGGGTAAAGATCCGTCAAAACGTAGCGAATACGGATACGGCTCTTTTTTTTCGACGGATATTCGCGGTTATGGATATCCGCAACGTCACTAGTGTTATGATACTTATTTACGTTGTCTCACATCTTCGAAAGGAAAACTTCTGTGAAAGACAACTATTAGTATAGTATTAATGCATATTATACATATTGCATACGTACGTGAACATTATATTAAAATTGTACCTGCCGTGACCTCTTTAAACCGTTTCTTAAAAATATCATGAATATCAAAAGAAATTATATTCACGTGTATTAAATTAAAACCTTTGTTTAGTCGCACCTTTTTTTTTACAGCTTCATGTTTGTAAAACTGAGGTGATATTTTTCATCGAATCGTTCAATTGCGTTAACTGTTGTATTTTAAAACAGAGTACGTGCACATATCTTTTATTATATCACAAAGCGGACCAAGAACACTGTACCACTGTCAAGGCCTTCTACTTTATTTGAATACATTGCCGCCCCCATGTCAACTCATTTTTTGAATACTAATTTGCTTTTTTTAACAACACCAATTTTTTTACGAATCGAATTACTCCTAAAGATTGCTTTCGTTCTTTTTTGTGATATTAATTGCATTTACTGTGAGTCTACTTGAATACGAAATTAACTATTGGTTAATTATATAAAAAAATCAAAATCTACCGTCGAATAGCCCTTAAATTTTAAAAGTCACACTCGATCGTTTGTGTAATTGGAATTCCATTGAGCGGTCAAAATTTTTGTAACAGTGTGTAATTGTTATCGTTCCCTAGCCGCGGAACGCTCGCGACTAGAGCGCGTCACGGCTCGGGAAGTATTTCTCTTTGGCTTGGTCACGGCCAAGGTCTTCTGTCGACACACTGAGTCCGCCATTATGTAATCTATCCGCCAGTATGTAAGCTGGTAAATGTTAAAATACACGTTTCGCTCGCGACCGCGCTTATCTCAAACTGTGTATATAGTTGGTACTTCACAGGAACCTGCTCTATATGGAGCGAGTCAATTTTGCGGAATAATATAAAAAATGTCGCTATGAGGATTACACCGAAGTTCGTCCTAGGTATTCTGCCCTAATTTAGAAACGGATTTTAACGCATTTCTGAAATATATGTTTTCTTTAGATTTGGAGTTAAAATAATCCATTATGTACTATCATATTTAGACTGTATACAAATTTCTCAAAAAATAAAACCGTGCGGATTTGAATATCGAAATTTTAAAATTTGTAAGCAAATTCAATCCTTTTACTCTTATGATTTCACATGCAATTTTTTTACATTACTCATTATCTCTATTTTAAGTTTACTAGTTTTTATATATTCCAGTGTTTAAGTGTAACACTTAACACTGGAATATATTTGTTATCAACAATTCGTTTTTCCTTTGTTTGCGTAATATTTACCGTATATCTATAATATTATGAAATTTTTGAACTGTTAATTTTATCTTTTTTTCTATCCTAATTTAGAAACAGATTTTAACGCGAATTCTTTAGGATAGATTTAAAGTTTTATGATCACTTCAACTTATCTTAATTTAATTTTAAAATTAATTTTAAAAATAATTCTTAAATTAATTTTATCTTGATATGTAGTAATATGTAAAGTCCTTAAATCTAAATCGATGAGTTTTACTGAAGGGATCGAACCGAAGGGACCTAATTTATTTGTCTTAACGGCTTTACTTTGGCACCGTAGTGCTACTCCAACGACCAAAATCAATATAGGGTTATTAATTACTAGTCAGTCCAAATTGTTTTCATATGTAATTTGTAAATGTAATAACTATACAAAGTGTGCATCCTCTGTAATCCAATGATTGCCGACGGGGCCATATGGGCCATATGGCCCCGTCGGCAATCAATCAGTCACAGACCTAGTTCACGAATTTATAACAAGAAAAAAGCATTAGCTTTGTGGATTCTTTATTTATATGTGACATAAATTTGGATTTCCCATTGGCGATTACAGAGGATGCACACTTTGTATAGTTATTACATTTACAAATTACATATGAAAACAATTTGGACTGACTAGTAATTAATAACCCTATATTGATTTTGGTCTTATGTGGCCATATGATATGGCCACATAAGACAGTCTTCGAAGCGGAGGTAGCATCGTTTCGTATCGAGTTCCGGTTGCACTCGCCTCCGCCGTGCCGCGCGCCCGTCGGCTGAAGAAGCGCGCGGGGCGGCCGACCAGAATCGCGTCGAGATCTCGCATTAACCGCGCGCGAACAAAAACCACCTGTAGTCGTCAGAGACTCGCCAAGGTCACAGGCCCCCGCGGCGCACTTCTCCGCGTTCCGTTTACCTATATCTCGCGGCGAGTGCACGCGTCGCGCCGCCCCCGCGCCTGACTCACCGCACCCGCCACCCGCGCGTCCCCTACTCCGGGTCAAGTCTAGGACGGTCGTCTGACGTTGTTTCGCCTCTGTGCACCGCTCAGGGGAAAATGTTATTGTATGACGTCACAAACTCTCGACCCGCTTAATCCCCGGTGCGCTTAGTAGAACTGTTTATTGTAACGCATCATCCCGCGATAATGATCGCACGCCCCGCTATTCTACTCACCGTTAAGTCTAATGGAGATGTAAGACGTCAGGTAATACTGGTTTAGATTTCTGCCGAAGCTAATATTTGCGAATTGATTATTACCTATACGTGGTGGATTATCAATACGGGCAGCAAATGCAATTATAGCCTCGGCATTACTAATGTGTCCGTTGAAGGCGATAACATCTGCTAATTAGCCGGTAAACGTCACTTGATCCAACCCGTGCGGTGGCTTCATTGAGCCGCTTTTTATACGTACCGTGTGGCACATGACAATCTGGGCGATTGGAACGAAAACGAAAGCACGTAAAAGCGAGTCGAGTTGGGGCAGTGCGCGCGCGTCGCTATTGTCAATGTTAATTGTGAGTGGCGGGGCGTGCGTCGAGTCAAGGTCGGCGCGGATCGATAGCATGCGGTGACGACGGAGTGGGGCGCGGCAGGCGTCCGACGCGACGGCCCGCAGCCCGCTGCATGTATGCACGTCGCCGGGAAACGAAAGTGCAGGAAAGTGAGAGCGCTCCTTAGTGATGCCGCCCCTCCGCAGTCGCTCGCGAATGTACGGTGATGCGCGTTACTCGTGCGTTCATCGTTAGCCCCGTACAATTTATTGTCCATCCCAGCCAGTTCCTGGCTTACCTAAATCGAATTGTGTTCAAATACGAAACGTTCAGTAATAGAGTTGCGTTTCTAGTTTCATTGTCACGAACGATATCGATAGTCAGTCAAGTTCTCGCCCCCGTTCCCCCTTTATCACTACGCTCGGGCAAATTAACATTGCGAAATACCTACGACATAAATAATGTTTTCTTTGTTGATAATACAATAATGGTAGGTAGATAGAAGTTGATCGGTGACTGCTTAGTCATTGTTGGTATCAATATCTATTGTGTGATCCATCCATTCCATTATAATAAAAGCTCTATCCTTTCGCCGCGCGTGTATAGCTGACGATGAACTGTTTTGTCGCGTCGCCCGTGTTTTGTTAAACGTATATTACTTTTCTTGTAGAATCCGTCTGGGTTCCGTCTCTACATACCTATATGAAAACAATATACATTTACATAATTGTGACGATTTAAAGTCACACTTGTATATCATACTAGCTGATCCGGCAAACGTTGTTTTGTGAAATTTCGTAAAATCCGTTCTTAACTGACCTTTACTCAGCGAAAGAAATATTCCTACCAAATTTCTCTACGCCTTATGGTTCCAGAGATATCGTCATGGGTCAATTATCGGTGGAAATTTCTTAATATATATAGATAAGCTCTAATAAAGCGTCATTGTAATTTTTGTAGAATTTTTTGTAATCTTAACTTTTTTTAACAAATGCTCTTTTTTGCTTTCTAGATACGGATTTCTTAATACGATCTTAATTTATCTAAAACAAAAATGCAACTAACATAAATATTTGAGGCTTACCTATTCAATACAAGTTCTTGTAATGGGTATCATCTTTTTGAAATTCATTTCAAATCGAATTACATATTTCTAAATATATTGGCTCTATTAAGTTAAATCTAGCTCATTATTTTTATATATGGTTATTTTCAATATCTGCGACTCGTCAATAAAAACTAAGTAAAAATAGGAGAACATGTTTAACTTTAGATTATTATTGTTTAGATTCGTGAGAATCAAGACGTCTATATGAAGGCTGTTGCTCTGATTTTGATGCTTCTTGATGATTTTTTTTTTAGATTTATCCCAAAGTATCCCTTCGAAAGGAAAAGAAAAGAGTATATTTTTGTCTGCAGATGCCGTTTCTTCACTCAATTTAAAAAAACTTTGAATTTACTTTTGTCTGAACTAGGTACTTAATTGGTTTACGATATTTAATTGCCATTCAATACAAACTGTAAAGTTCTTTAATAATTTTATATCGTGGCTTGTGATTAAGATAGAAGCATTTCATATGTCTATAAATCCTACTACTTGTGGATTTTTCGAAAAGTCATCTCGTTTTTTTTTTTGGTGAAAATGGAACACGATTTTTTTAGAGAGTATAAATCTTATCCTTTAAACGAGCAATTCTTGTATATATATATATATATATATATATACATATAATCGGAATCTCGGAAACGGCTCTAGCGATTTTCATGAAATTTAGTATGTGCGTAGATTCGGGGGCAAAAAATCGATCTAGCTAGGTTTCATTTTTAGAAAATGTCCTTTTATCCCTGTTTTCAGGGAATGAAAAATATAATTCGAATATGACGGTTAATTTCGCTGCAAGAGAAAATGTCATAATAGCTCGGTCGGTAATCGGGCGGCCCCAAAACAGACGGCCGTGGTTCGCGTCACGATCATTTACACATTTATTTTTTTACTTTTTTTTCGATTCCAGATCATTGCTTTCTTTATTTTTAATTTTTTGTCGATCGAAAAATATTATGCATATTTCATTACTCAGTAATTTGTATCTAAATGTAATTTCCAAAATACACGATTTACCAAAAAAAAAAACAAACCGAGCAAAGCTCGGTCCCCCGGGTACTATTTAATTACAGCGTATAAATATTTACATATTCTCCATTTTGGTCCAATACTTTTCGCCATCGAGCAGGAAATTGATTTCAGCCTCATAAAACTTTTGATCTTTCAAAAAAACCAGCCAAGTGCGAGTCTGATTCGCAAACGGAGGGTTCCGTACCTTTATCTATAAAAACAGAAAAAATATTATGTCTGTAGTATGGGAGGCCCCTTAAATATTCTTTTATTTTGTTTGTTGTTATAGTGGCAACAGAAATACATCATCGTGAAAATTTCAAACTTATAAGTATCACGGTTCATGAGATACAGTCTGATGACAGACGGACAGACAGACAGATAGACAGACACCGAAGTCTTAGAAATGGGGTTCCGTTTTATCCTTTGGGTACGGAACCCTAAAATTGGTCCAAGTGATATTTAAGGTCCTGATTGATGAATTGATGGAAAAAGTAATTGCACCCTCGCAAAATCTGGAGAATTTGAGGGGTGTGGGTAGATAGATATTCCATTCAATAAACTTTTGGCGAGATGCCAAAATTGGTCTTGCATTATCGAGGTTCCATCACCGATACCTTTTACATTAATCAATCCTGGCCTTTTCTGTTCGAATGAATTATTTAATTTGTCCAGTTGATACAGTCCACGGTACAGTTTTCAGAATTGCTCTTGATATTGTGTGTGTAGAAATCCAACCAAACAGATAGCACAACCTTTTTTTGGGGCTAGTAATGATTCGCTTCAATAATGTATCATTCTCTTGACGTTTTCCAAATCGTAGTCGTAAACGCGACGAAGCACATTTCTTTCTGTAACAACACGCGCAACCCATAGTCAAGTTTTGAAATTAAACCAAGACGTTTTACGTGATCATGGGCGTTTGAATTCGACAAATTTATCCTCTCAGCAAGTTGTGTTCGCGCTCACGAGTTGTGTTCCCGCGGTTTGTGTCTATCAATGCCTTCATTTTGTCATCGTCTGCTTCGAAGAACCTTCCAGAATTTCGTCCATGTTCCATCGAAATTGTCGGAAACAAATTTAAAAAAAAAATTACGGGAAAGAGTAAAATATAACGAAAATTCTGCTATCGATTTGCCATCTTTGATAGGGCACTGGACAAAAACCGTTGCACAAAATCAAACAAAAGTTTTAATAAACAACAAGCCACACTATATCAGCATTTAAAAGATTTTTACAATGCTGTTTTTGTGTTAAGTTGGATGCAAACAAAATCATCTGTTGTGTAAAAACGAAATAACATTCCGAACAGCCTATTAAAACCGATTTTTATTATGATTCCGATACGTAAATTATTTTTACAAAACACACTTGGTACCAATTTAGTTTATTTGTCAAATACGTAACCATGCACCCTATCTAAACTTTTCAGGACCACCCCAAGGTTGACTGGGAGATAATGATGATGACGTCCGCCTTTGTATATAAATTTTTGTGCATAAAGAATAAACAAATAAATAGTCCTCCTTTTTTGACTTCGCTACAGTCGGGTAAAAAGAAAAAAGCAAAAAAGAACGGGTGTGTTCCTACGTGTATTGTTAATTGGTCTTTGGAATTTATCTGGTTTGACGTCCAAAAAAAAATACGATGTTTTGACTTTGTCGTTGACATACAAGCCGAAATTAAACTTCAAAAAGACGTCTCCGTTATTCAAAATAATTCACCGGCTGACTCTGACGGAAAAACATCGAGTACCCACTCTATTAGGGCACTAGAAATATAAATGTGTCCAACTACAAAAAATTGGATTGCCTGTTTTTATGTTGAAGTAAAAAAGTATGACATAACGTTTCCATTATGTAACTTATCTTGAGTAGTTTCACGCACATTTGGGAAAAGAACGTAATACAGTTCTGACTATAAGTCACGTGGTTTAAGTTTACTATTTTAAATCGATAAATGAGGTATGGAACGTCCTAAGTCGAATTGTGTTTAGTGACATGGCGAAAATTTTAATAGTAGGTAGAGGCTAGAGCGGGGTTTTCGTCTAAGAGTGACGTAAAACTTAATTACAGAAACGCTCCGCAGTCACGATCACGAAGGTCGCCGTCGAGAGACTTCAATTATTTGGCCGCTTCCAACCTATCACGTAGCCATAAAATATATAAATTATTGCTCATTTCCATTCCATATTGCCCGAAGTTCAATAACTAAAAAAAAAAATAATCGATTAAAGCAACTCGTTTACCGATACAAAGTCAGATTTATCCGTGTATGCCTGCCTGCCCGTATACGGACCTTGAGCGCAACTGGCGAGACCTTCGCGTCGGTAGTAACCGCGCGGAAGTTGACGGCTGCGTGTTGTTTTTTTTTTTCGCTTCTGTCAATTTCGAGCTCGTTGGATTTTAGCGCGCATTAGTCAGCGGTCGACCTTCGGCGCCGGAGGCCGCGGCGCACCGTCGACGCGCTTGCACCGCGGTATCGCATCAGCAGGCCGCTATCGCAATGTCGCAACTTTGCCCGTTGACGGTATCGGTCGCGTGGAGAACGTGCGCGTCGCGTCGCAATCCGCTCGTCTAGATCGTCCGGGGCGCGGACCGCTGCCGTACGCAGCGGACGGTGTCCGATTTGAAATATCTTCTACGCAGTAACATTAGTGCCGCGTCGGCGCGACCGTATCGCTGTGCGCGTCGTAGTGATGTGAGGATGTTAGTGCGTGGCCATGTCAGTGGCGAAGAAAGACAAGCCGACGATGTCGGTGACGGCGCTGATCAACTGGGCGCGGCCGGCGCCCCCGGGGCCCCAGCTGCCCCCGCCCGCCTCTCCAGCGCCGGTCACCATGCTGCAGCCGCTCGCGACGCCTTCCAACATTCCCAGCGTCGACTGCTCGATCGACATGCAGTGTAAATATCCGACTAGTTATTTCTGTTAAATGATCTACTGAGCCCTTGACTTTTCACAGATTTCGACCCGTTGAAATGGATTCATCTTCATTGGCGCATGCTACGATGTGTACCATTTGTCGAGACATACTAGACATGCTTTTTTTATCTTTAAGGTGTGCGTTGTTCCGTCCTCATTGATCCCATTCTGAGAAGCTTGTGTCATTGTGTAGAAGAAGCGCAACAGGCATTCGCATAAATTGTCATTGAACTTTTTATGCACAAACTAATATTTTGAGTTCGGTTCTGTATTTAAAAACTAATTTTTGACGTCCGGCTTAAACTATATTGTTTGCCAAATGAATCGAACCTTCTGTCTTTAGGGCTACGGAAACGGGACATAATGAGACGTTTTGAGTCCTAGTGTTTATGTCATAATTAACCTAATTGTTTTATGAACAGAATGCGTTTGAATCCAAAAATTTGTTATATTAATAGCTTAAAATGAACATAAGACCTCACGTATTCCCCCAGTTAGCCTAATGGAGCGATACATTTTTACAATGAAATTCTGTGCGGCTGAGCCATCATCGGCCATGTCTTGCCCGAAACTGGCTGAAACAGTAATGTTGTAAAAAAAGTGATATTAAATTTATATATGGCCTGGCGTTGTCCCGAAATTACAATTGAAATGTACGCACTTTGCTTAATTGCAATTATAACTTACACGAAGTAATTTGAATTGTTTTCACGACGCTAACAAACTCCTACACAGGACCTTTGAAATTGAATTACGTAATACCCATTAACGTTGAAAAGCGACGAGGACTTATTTGAGTTTTCTTCTTTCTTTCTGAACACACTGAAACATATTGTGCTCGGCCATTTGGAGATACTATTCTTTTCTGCATATTGTTTGCATTAAAAAAAATAACTTTCATATATTACATTCCATACATTAAAATAAACGCATGAGTGAAACAATGAAGTAAAAAAAAAAAACTAAATCAAGTCTAACATTAATTGTTGCGGGTCCTTATTACATTGAAAAATAACACAATAGGCTACATTGGCTCAGCCTAGTCCAAGCCACATCACTCAGATAGAACTAAAGCAACTAGTCTCCGTCAATTATTTGTTCCTATATGAAAAAAGATTGTATTTTATTGATTCAAAATTATAAAGAAAGCAGCATAAACGAAAAAGAGACAATATATAAGATTTCCAATTAATAAATAACCCTTATGGAATATTATCGTTTCGAAGAAATTACCTACCGCTCATACTAATCATTACGATATGGTAAATAAATCAATCCATCAATTAACTTTATTCAGCGTATGTCTAATAACATGATCATTTCTGTCAAGCCCCTGTACTAGACGATGTCGACGATGTAGGGTGAAACAAAACCGCGGCTCATAACAATTCTCTGGCTATTGAAGCATTACCATGTTTTCCTTATTTAATAATAGTACGTACCTAAAGCTCTTTAACTCTTTGAATTGAACATTCTGATCATTAAGAAGATCATTCTGTTCAATTCAGAGAGTTTAACAATACTTTTGGCAACTCAAATAATATTTCAAAATACATTTGTAGCTGATTAGTTGACTTTTACGATGATCAGTGTTTCAGAAACCGGGCCCATCTTAATTATATATTCGGGCATAACAATTCCTAAATAAATATTCGAATTTCACTGGTTGTTCCTAAATGTATAATTTATGTACTATTTAAATGAATTATTCTAATCTTGAACGTTAATAATTCTAGAACAAATGAGGCCTCTTTTCTCTTCCGGCGTATGTATACATAATATGTAATATTCGTAATAACGAAAATTAATAATTTCAATTGATCAAGTTAATTAATTATTATTAATTAGTTTTTGTTTCTATATCCATTAGGGGAACGTTTGAAGTTCTCGCAGAAACAAGATGTGTTATGTCGGAATAATGCCGAATTAAACCCCCTGTTCCTTGTGTTCTAAATGCCTCAAATATCGCCAGTCGTGTTCTCGCTGCTTTAGATACCGCCAGGAGCACAGAACCGCTCGCGCACCCATCCAATGACAATATTAGAGTCGCTGATAAAGGATGCCCTGCGCGTTCAAACTCGGGTTTTAGCTTGCAGCTCTTTTCTTTGCCAAGTTTTGACTTTGAAGGGATGGAGCAAATATGCCTCAACGGTTTTTACACATGATATTACATTAATCTTTTCGGTATGGTTTGAAATGTGGGATAGGAAACGCATATCATGCCTGAGCAAGGACCATGCTTATCTTTTCTGTATAGTCTATATACATTTCCAATGCTCTCTCTCTTTGGTGCCTCAAGATCTAATAAATATTTCAGTAAAATCGAGGGGAAATTCGTAAGTTCTCGTATAATTTCATCTTATTTCTGTTGTCTGTCATTTTAATGTTAATTAAAGTGTAATTATAATAATAATATATACTTTAATTAACCTTTGAAATATCATCCTTATAACTGAATCGTCAAGGCATGAAATAAGATTCGTTTGATGTTTATTTAATGCGCGACTGACTGGCAATCCGTCAATGTTCATTAACATGTTATCTTTATGAAATTGTTCTCGCTACACATAACTCGGTTAACCACTTATTTGTTACAACATTGGCCAATACCATTATATTGACGTACCAACAGATATTTCTGTTGAAATGAACGTTACTAATTAACTATTTTAATATAATATAGTTAATTAGTAATTAATAGTTATTTCCCTATTACATATTCTATGGCAGCAGATATAAAATTAAATAACTGTGTTAGGGCCACACAACAGTCTTTACTGTTGCTCGAATGGGTTGGTCCGTCCAGTTAAATGTGCGGAATAGCAGCTTAAGTCTATCCCTCTGCAGACTTTCAGATAAGTACAAGAGCTCTGTCCCGAATACTTCCAGTGTTCTTCTTCTAAGCTGTCCACTTCCAAAGACGTCCGTCATGGAGCTTATCGGCGAGTCTATCGCTTCTTATATACCAAATATGCACCACAGAACCTTCATTTCGGTCACCTACAAATTCAGTGTTTAAAGAAACTTCTTTAGTGCACACGAACTTATTATTTTGACAATCATGGAACAGGTTTTTTTTATTTATTTAGGATCGCAAGCAGAACAGTACACTCACATTACAGAATAATAGATACAGATACAGATGAAACGGAACTTAAAACGCAAGTGAATGTTCTTCTATGAACGAACACAACATGTACAAAAACATTCTCAACCATAAATAATCGTACAATGAAATTAAAAAATAAACTTTTCAAACCTAAAAAATAAAAAAAAAAGAAATTAAAGCTAAATTAAAATTGATAGACAAAACAACATTTAAACGTAACTTTAAATTACAACTAATACAAAATTATTGAAATAAATTTTAAATTATAGTTTACTCCTTACATTTTTTTAATATTACTATACAGTACATAAAATATGTCGAAATCCTGGCATTGTAACTCGAACACAGCCGATACAAAGGAGAGTGCTGACCGTAACGGGTACGTCGTAATGGTAGTGCAAACACATTTCGCCTCTGCAAACCAGTCACCAGATCGTGGCAGATTGAGATTTAATTTCTCGAGAAGGTCTCGGGATTTACAATTTTACCATGCAAAATTTTGTATAGTAATACAATGTCAGCTACTTCGCGTCTACCAGCAAGTGAGTTCATTTTATAATGTTGCAGATGAGAGTTGTAAGAATTCAATGTTAGGCAGCGATTACTAGCGTATATCAGGTGGTACAAGAACTGTTTTTGAATCCTTTCAGTTCTTTCAATGTGAATTCCATAAGATGGGCTCCATATACTCCATATACATATACTGCAGTACTCCAGTAAGGATCGGACCTAGCAGTTGAAGAGGGTAATAGGAATTTCTGGGTCCTGAAATGTTTTTGTTTACCTTATCACAAAGCCTGCTAGTTTCGCCTCCTTTTAAGTAATGTGGTCTATATGCTCGCGAAAATCTAACTTTTGATCCACAATAAAAGTGACCTCGTTTAATGGAACGTTGTTTATTACATATGTTGCATTGCATGGGTCGCGTTTATGGGTGAATTTGATATAACTACATTATGAGGCATTAAGAACCATATTATTTCTAAGACACCATGTATTAATAGATTCGAGGTCGATTTGTAGAGTTCTAATATCTTCGATGGACATTACTGTTCTGTAGATCTTTAGATCGTCAGCGAAAAATTTGAAGCTGGAATTTATTGTGAAAGATAGGTCGTTTATAAATACGAGAAAGAAAGGTGACCCGAGATGCGACCCTAGAGGCACGCCCGAGGGTACTTTCTTAGGTAGGGATTTAAATCCACGAACAGAGACCAGTTGTGAGCGATTTTGCAGGTAAGACTCACACCACCTAAGCACACCTAAGCCACATATGCCAGCGTGATCAAGTTTTTAGATACAATAGATTCTATAATATAAAATAGTTATGTACTCCTTAGAGAAGTAAATGCATATAATCTATTAAAAATATAAGTAACTGCATAAAATTAGTGTCCTTAGCGCGGCTTTTAAAATTTTCCTGTGAAATTACTGTGTGCAATTTTTGTTAAAATGCATTTTAAGGTCACAACTCCTAATCTTAACAAACACGAGTCGCTTAACCTTTTAAATTAAATACTTGCCCAAATAACTTTGTGTATTGTACAAAGTAAGTTGGTGTTATTGCCATTGAAAGAAAGGGCACGTTTCTGTTCATTTCAAACAAAGGATTTAACATTACGCTCCTTCGGGGCTCCGATAAAGGACTTATTGCTGAATCAATTGGAATAACGTTGTTTTAGTACGGTTTCTCGGATTTGGTTGTGATTTTTATATATTAAATTTTTAAACATACATACGATTTAATTTATAACACTGAGGGAAATATTTAAAAACAAAATTCAAAAGAAAATAAAACACTCTTTTAAAATCATTAATCTTTCTGCTTGAATTGATTTCTCAACATTATGGCGTTCGAATTTGAGAATTCGG